AGATACATAGATACATAGATACATAGATACATAGATACATAGATACATAGATACAGAAAGAATATGGAATAATATATAGACTTTAATACGAGTAGCATAACTTGGTGAATTGGGTATCTTCCAGTTCATCACTTTCAGTTCGCAATCCTCTCATTTGTTCATGTAATATTCTATACACACACATACATACACAGTCTTTTTTGTTGTCGCTTTACGCTCTCGCATTGACTTATTTGCAATTACATGCAATTGCATTGGCGCATAATTTAAAATAATTGAAGCCAGCGACGAGTTTGGCGCGGCGGATGCGAATGCTGCGACAAAGGCTGGGAAAAAATTAATCATTATCAGTGCTGATAAGCGCATGAATTATTTCACATTTGCCGAGCATTAAAAGTGCATTAAGTGCATTAATTAATATGTGAAAGATACATAGAGACAGACAGAGAGATAGAGAAGGAAAGAGATAAAGAGGGAGAGCTTTACTTCATATATCAGTTCCAGTTGCAATTGTGGCAAACCCCAAATTAAATCACTGAGCTCCTGAGTCAAATCAGCTAAACAATCATATTTTTCTTCGCACTGTGGTCGCGTCTCGCATTTCATGCAAATCTAACATTTAGCTGAAAATTATGAGCTGCACAAAAATCAGCAGAAAATGCCAACTCAGGCTGGCTAAATAGCCATTTCGTGACTTGCAGCTGAGTCTGCGCGACGGTCGCCCCATTAGCGGGGGCTAATTAGACGCGGCTCGCGCGGCACCCAGCGAAAAGTGGCGAAAAAAAAGAGAGAGAGGAAAAATAATAATACAAATCGCATCACATTTGCAAATCATGCGAGGCCAACGCTTGTCGCTTGCTATCCCACCAGCCCGCCCGCCAGCCAGCCGGCCAGTGGGCGTGACAGCCTCCTCCTTCTATGCCTCCTGCAGGCAGCTGGCAGAAAATTGGAGCAGGAAATTAGCACGTTAGCGTGATTCACGCGACAGGCGTGAGCCGAGCTCCCCCAGTTCACAGTCCAACCCTCTGAGAAATTGTTTTTGTCTGTGCAACAAATGCAAAACCAAAAAAAATTCTTTAATAGTTGAACAATTGAATTTGGCAGAATACATTCAATTATAGCAACGAAAAAGAGCAATGAGAGAGAGAGAGAGAGAGAGAGAGAGAGAGAGAGAGAAAAAAAAAAGAGAGAGAGAAGAGAGAGAGTTGTTAAAATATTCAAATTGAATTTTAGGTTGATTTTAAGCTCGTAAACAACGTTGTGCTAAGTCGAGTTTGATAATTTAAGTGAACACTTATATATGATCTCAGCATGAAAGGCCGTAAATCAGACTTGAGAATCGATAAGAAAGGCAACAACCGGACAGACAGACGGACAGAAAGAGGGACGGACAGCGCTAAATCCACACAGCTCATCGCCCTGATCATGAATATATATACTTTATGGGGTCTGCCACGCCTCCTTCTGCCTGTTGCAGACAGACACAGCTCTCGCCCTGACCATGAATATGTATACTTTAGGGAGTCTGCCACACCTCCTTCTGCATGTTGCATACATTTTAGCCGAACCAATATGCCCTGATATCCCATTTTCAATGGGTATAGCAAGTGAAAGAGAAAGACAGATTTGATTTCTGAAAACTCTTGATAGCTCCAATAGACAATGGATAATTATAAATAATATAATATATTATAATTATTATATATATATATATTTATAATATTTAATTCAATTTGCCAGTCTTTAAAGCCATTGTTGCTCATTCGGGGCACAAAACGCGAGTACTTAAATTTATTTAAGCGTTAATATATAGGTTTTCCAATATCAATTTGCACACATGGCCACGCCCCGAACTCCTGAGCTGCCCCTTTATATTGAATTTGCGTAAATGTTTCACAGGTTTATTTTTCGCAATTTTATTTTTTTTTTTATTTTTTATTTTTTTTTTGCTACTGATGGATGACTGTGGCCATGATAAGCCTATAGACGGCCACGGCATTCAGTGCCAGTTTTCCGCTATGCCGCTGTGCCGCCGTCCCGTCGTCTGTTGATTGACATTAAACCAATTTCGTGTTGCATATTGATATGTTTATTGACAATTTGTGGCAGCAATGGAGCCCCTTTTGCGCTGCGCAAAGTAAATCAAATTACGTTAAAATGACAAAAAGAACGGAGAAAAAAAAAAGAGGAAAATGAAAATGAAAATAATGAATGGAGGCGGACAAAAAGGCAGCGGCGAATGCCAACATTTGCCTGGCTTTTAATTGCACAACAAACATTTACAATTGTTGCCTGTCTTAACTTACACACGCCGCACGTCTCCTGCCGCACGCCTCCTGCTGCATGCCCCAACCAAATTGCCACGCAAAAGTGCAAAAGTTAAGGCTCATTAATCATAAATGTAAGGCCTTCGCGTGGGTGGCCCCCTACAAAACGCAGCTCGCAGTCGAACCAGTAGCAGATAGCGATAGACAAAGCGAACGACGCTCGAGATGGATGAGCCAGCTCCCAAAAAGGAACGCAAATTATTTATAAAGTTGCCGTGGCGTAAAACTGTAAATTGGTTGGCATTTATACAGATACTTCCGGGCCATCAAAAAGTTTCCAGCAGGTGGGCGAGCAGGAGAATTATATTAGGAACATATTTTCTATCTGCAGCAGTCAATCATATTTATTTTTTATTTTATTTTTAAAATAAATATTTTTTAATCTTGAACAAATGGCATTACGTTTGGGACACAGTTGGGAAATTTAAGCATATTATTGTTTAATTATGTTGAAACGATATTAGTTGTAAATTGATGAGATTGGTATGGGGCAATAACTGCGAGGGGTAGGTAAGGTAGGTAGCCTTGATATTTGCCTTGCTTGAGTTATATATTAACAGGAGCTTCATCTGCTGAAATGATAATGTTTGTGTGTATGTGTGAGAGTAATCTAGAAAATATATAAAGAAATTTCGAGTGAGTTGATGTTGTTTGGTGATAACGCCGACCTTCATCACTTTGCCGCAGCAGACAGAACAATTTTCACAGTTGAAAGAGTTGCGTCTGAGCTGCAAAGCCATTGATAGTGGTTGCTCCCATCTTTGGTTTCAATCAGTGATGCTATCGATGAATGCTTAAGTTGTCTTCACTAGGGGCCAAAAAGAAACTTTTAATTCTTTAGCGAACTACTTGATGTAGATTGGTATGATTTAAGAGCAGTCAGCATGAGAGAAGAGCAAGAATTCTTCATCTGAGAGCAATGAATAACATATACATATATATGTATATACTCAGCATAGTTGAGCTAATCAGCCTTCAATAAGCTTAAGTAACTCTTAAAAAATGCCCGAAAAACTTAATCTGTACATTGGTTATACTCCTATACAGCCAGAGTTAAAGTCATTCAGTTCTTGCATATCCCATCCGATATAAGCTCTGGCCTTTCAATGTAATACAAAACAGCTTCGACTATTACGACTTAAGGCGATGTTTAGCTTGTTGCCAATTTGTCTAATTGGACAAGGGTGAAAAGATTTAGTTGAAATACCAAAATAAGATGATATCTCAGCTCACCAATAATATATGCACTTTGGTTGCTTTAGACTATAAGGAATCAGATCTAAATCCGATTGCTCATCTTTAGATATATCCGGTGTGTAGCTTCAGCCTATGACTAGGACATACGAGAACACATGGAGAAACGTCTGATTGAACTTTGAAGCTCCCTTACTGCTGTTAAGTATATACTATTTACATTACTTAAAATTTATATAACAATTCCCTTCACACTATTCCATGTTGCACTCATTTTTAACTCTTTTGCGTGCTAAATTAAATTTTTTAAATATCCCATTTTGTAGCTCTAAAACAATACATATGTCCTTTTATTTTTCATAAAATATCGGTATACCCTAGACTTTCAGTTAAGAGGACTGGACACTCTAATTCTTTTCTATCTATATATATATATATCTATATATATATATATCTATATACCATACATGTGCAGTGAAAATTAATTTCTATGAAAATTAACATGAGCACGAGGGGAAAAGTCGTGTAGAAAATATCCCATAAATATTAACCCAATTTAAGAACTACAACTTAAAAACTAAACTAATGTCTACTGTCCTTTCACTCACCATTCGGTAACAAAATATGTCTATACCAAATTAAACGACTAGCTTAACTTTAGTTTTTGCATACCTCCAGCGTTGCATTGACTGTGACAGCCGGATGTGGTATATGGGATATGTTCGTCCTGCTCCCGACACCATGCTGGCTTTTTAATATATACATATGTATGTATGTAAATATATGCGTGACACACACATCAACATTTGTTCATGGCTTATTTAGCATAATTACAGTCCATTACCTGGTCACGCGCCCCTACAATAGCAACGGCATAGTCCAGCCTCGCCGGCCCCTGCCCGGAGGGCGAGTCGCCACATGTTGTCAACTGGACGCTGACCAAAATGAGCCAACCACCCTCACTTTCACGCTCTCTCTCTCTCTCTCTCCCTTTCGCTGTTGACTTTTTAGCTGCAAAAATGTAAATTTAATGTACGTGCCGCGAATGGCATGAAAAAAAAAACAACAAGTCTGCTACAAAATATTTAGCAAAATTATTCACATCAAAAGGCGGCACAGCTGCGGCCAAGAACTTGTTGGCCAAATGGCCATTAAAAAGCCAACGCTAATCACTGGCCCAATAAAAAGAGCCCAATGTCTCAATATCAAGCCAGAAATTAGAAACAAACAAGAGTGACTGACTAGCAGATACCCTGCAAAACTGCAAAAGAGTGGGAAATTAATGAAAGTCTTCGACTAGTGTATCCCCAGCCTAGCCAATCTATTTATGGGGGAGCAATGCACAAATTTTGAGCTCTAAAATTGATTAATCATTTTATGTGAATATGGATTGAAGTACTCAAAAAGTAGGGTAGGAATCGGTCTGGGAATACCCTAGGAGAATTTAACTGATTTATAATCTTCATTTAGCGCTGGCATCTATGAAGTTTCAGTTATTAATTAGCCAAAAGTAAACTTTAATTATTATCGATTTTCATGTAGTTGATTTATCGATAATTTAAAAAATATTTTATCTTTAAAGTTTAAACTAATATTATTTGTTATGCTTAGGTCTTTAGTCTAGTAAAAGAACTGTCTATATCAACTTGATTAACTCAGATATAACTAAATTATAGATATATAAAATTTATCAAGTTTCCGACTGCATACCCCTTTGATTCATACCCTAAATCTACAGGGTATATACAAAAGGACCAAACCACAACAATGAAACAGAAGTTTTTCTAATTTGTTTAAAGGTTGCTGCGGTCAGTTGGTCAATTTAAAGCAAATTTCCACATGAGCTGACATTGTGTGTTATTATAGCCGCCAGGCTATTGGCAGCAGGAGTAGCAGCAGGAGCAGCAACAGCAGCCGGAGCAGTGAAGGGCCTGTAGCTAGGCTGGTTGGGTAAAAAGTGAGCTGGGGGTGGGTCTGAACTGGACTGGAGCACATTTGACATTGGCTTGGTTTTTAGTCAGTTTAATTAAAATGCAAGTAGGCAATTTATATACACTTCATGTCCTTTATGTGGCTGTCGCCTGTTGGCCAATGCATACAGAAAGAGATAAAGGTATTTAAAGAGTAACAGGCAACAAAAGAGACCGAAAGAGAGAGCAAAAGAGAGAGAGAGAGAGAGATAACGAGCAGCCAGTCTGGTCTGCTATTAGGCCATGCTTTTTGATTTATGTTTTTACACGCTTAAATGAACTATGTTTGTTGTTGCTGCTCTCGTTATTGGATTGCTCTCTGTATGTGTGTGAGTGTGTTATGTGTGTGGTGCTTGTGGATGGTTCAGCTCTGTCTGCCATTGAAAGAGTTTTGCACATGAATGAGTTAAGCTCGAAGTGGAATAAAAAAAAAATGGAGGAAAGCGTATTAAAAGGCGGAAAATGTTTTGCCACATGGCTGCTGCAACGCCAATATGCAAAGAGACACCCAAAAGAGAGAGAGTGAAAGAGAGAGAGAGGAGGCGAAACGTTGTTTGTGTATCAATTGACCCAATTGGATATGACAGCTAAGTAGCTTGAAAACTTTTGAGCATCAGCCCATTCGACATTTGCCATAGTAATAATTATGTGACTGCCTCGAGAGTCACAGATAAATGTAATTTGAAGCCAATGTGAAATATTTGGACTGGAAACGAAAGCTACTTTGAAAGGCCTCTATACAGTGATAGTATGTTAAAAATTTATAATTTATATATTTCACTCTGAATTTGTCATGCAAAAATAATGAAATTTCAATTACCAATTCAATTCTGCAAAGAGCGGGTGTTCTTCCCATGTTCATTCAATGCCTCTTTTATGACAATTAATGAATGTTGCTCATATTCGAGAGTCCCATCTTACAGCATTACAAGTTTGCCCACAATCAACTCATGTTTCTTTTCATTTATATATATATTTTTTTTTTTTTTATTTTAAGTCTTAGAAATCTTAGCTTTTTTTATGTTGACAATAATATATACTTTATTTGCTTCAAGCAGATTTTTTGAC